CAGTTAGCACCAGTTAGCAACAGTTAGCACCAGTTAGCACCAGTTAGCAACAGTTAGCACCATTATAATGATTATAAGACACTTCTCTGTCTTCTCTGTTTGAGGTGTGGAAAGACAGACACAGTATTACTGACATTATGTCACAATAACCGGCTCGGGCTCCATGTCTGATGCTCGTCACAGCCCGCAGTCGCTGTGCTGTAGAGCGCCAGCTGTCTTTCCACCCTTGAGAGACTTGATCACCGCCTTGGTCTCGTCAGAAGTGAGGGCACCAGCGTCCACAACGAGTTCATCATTTTCGGCTGATCATCCAACAAAGGCACATCTGGGGCAGGTCGATTCAGTGCGCTACCCGGCGCTTATCTTGGTCTTTCTGCGTGAGGAGAGGTCTGCTGTCAAGGTGACGGTAAGATCGCGCACGATCCGAAATAGCGTCCTCCTATCGTTCCGATCAGCAGCTTTCCGCTCGACCCATTCGCGTTTATCTCTTCGACAGCTTCGCTTCACCTGCCGATCGAGGCGTCGGTACCGCTCCTCTGCTTGCTGTTGTTCATTTCATGCTGTCTGATCCCGGGCGATTTTCGCTCCTCGTCGTTCATCGACTAGCTGCCGTGTTCAATCTTGGATTCGACATTCCTCGAAGGTCCCTCTTCACCGACCAATGGCATTTTCGACGCTGGCCACCACGGCGGTTCGAAGGGCAAGTGGAGGAGGGGTTAAATGAGTCAGAGTGTAGTGTGATCACAGAGCCAAGAAGTGGTAGAAATGCTTCATATAGTGCACAGTCAAACTATATAACGGCGTCTTTGATTTAGTCTGAAAGTACTGATGTAGACACAGATTTTAAGGCCTGTGTTTGGGCACATAGTGGCCCAGTACCCACAGTCACAGTGACACATCCATATCATCAGGTGGATTTCTAGGTTCAAATTAGGTCAGCGACATGAAGTGATGTGACAAGACAGAGCAAGCAGTTTAAAAGAGGTGCTAAGGTTTAGGCTGAAAGGAAGGCCCGGTTAGGTCGAAACATCAGCAAAGAGTAAAACGAACTTAAGTGTATCTGTATTTCTGACTGTGCCTGTGTCAGAGCGCTAAAATTGAGCTTAAGCGCTAAAAGCGGCTTTAAAATAATCTGGGTGGGATTAAAGGCTGCAGTGTGCAGATGTGGAGCACAGAGGATGCTGATGTTAATCAGTAACTACTGCATGAGCCTCCCTCCTCACACTCATGAGCTACACAGTGCCGCCGTGTTTGGGGACAGAAAAAAACATTCGACCTGACCCAGATGAATCTGTGGCAAGGATTCATCGTTATCAGCGAAGGAAAAACAAGTTCTGAAACACAAACCACGTGAATCCACACACAGCATCAGTGTGAAGAGAGGGCAGTGTGGGGTCACACTGAATCAGCGTCAGTGACAACGATGGAGGCAGAAACAACACACAGCTCTGACTGAGCATCTGAGGGCAGGTAGAGACCATCCTTCAGTTAACAACCGTTTTAATGACCTTTCTTTCTGATGAAAGCAAGACAATAACTAAATAAACACTAAAGAAGGAAAAGAAACGACGATGAAATGTAGCAAAACTTTCATTAACGAATAAATAAACAAAAATCCTGCAGAGACAAGATCTCATCAGAGGTGCTCGAGGTGCACAGGAAGTCAGAAGAACCTTCCTACGGTTAGGTGGACACATCCGATGTGTTTGTCATGAGTAAGTAGCGCGTGACTGTAATCAGATTACTTTTTTCAAGTAACGAGTAAAGTAAGGGATTACTATTGCAGAAAAAGTAGTTACATTACAGTTACATTCCCGTAAGCACGCTGTGACGTCCGTGGCAGCAACAGACGAGGATACCATGGAGTGATGGAGAGAGTACGACCGTGCAGTGTTTAAAGTGTGGAAGTAATCAGATTACTGTGAGTTTGAATCTGTTAAAAGTGACAAACATCAGCGTCTGCTGTTCACTCTGTGGGAACAAAACTTCTTTCTGCAGCGAAAAAATCAAACTTCAAATCTGAGCGTGCAGCGAGCACGCCGCCACGGCAACAGAGAAACCCCCGGACCCCCCCCACTGACATGACCGCTGTGGGCAAACCTCCACCCGCCCCACTCCTGATAAACAGGTGGCAGTAGATTTCAGAGCTGCTGAGTCTTTGATTCTGTTGATTTTCTGCTGTGTTTTACTCGCATCTATTTGAAAGAGTGTCAACACAGAACATGATTTATCTGCTGGAACATGCAGACAACAGGTTTCCATGTTCAACACATTTCTTCCAGTCAGAGAATGTTGCAGATAATTTAATATTTGTTGATGCATAAAGTTAAAAAGATGAAACTAATAAAACAAGTTTAAAAAAGATTCAGTTTCATATGATGGATTATGCAGAAACAGTCGAACACGGCTGAAAGGGAACACTGCTGCTTTGTTACTTATTCAGGTTGTAAATCATGTTTTTGAAAAACAACTAAGTAACTAAGTAACTAATTACTTTTGAAAATAAGTAATCAGCAATGTAACAGGATTACTTTTTGGAGATGTAATCAGTGATTAGTAACTAATTACTTTTGAAA